TAATTATTCCATTTCAATGAAACTTAGTACAAAGATGCTCTAGGACAATGTACAAACCTAATTAGTTGGGGGTAAAAATCTGTTCATATTAATTCCCTAATAAGCATAATAATTCATAATTTTTTGGTTCTAATCACATTTCAATTAAACTTGGAGACATAGATTTTCTGTTACATTGCGCAGACCTCATTAGTTTTACACTCAAATCTGGTCATATTAATTTTCTGATTTGCATAATTAGTTTTCAGCTAAGTAATTTCGAATTATATTTAATGTGTCTCCAATACTCTCAGCACATGGGAGTTCTTTCTAAGCTTTCTTTGATTTGTTATTTTTTTTGAAGATAAACTGTTAAATGTTGGGAAAATTGTTTGCCGCATGGTGTGATGGCATGGCTGCTCATTTATGTAATCAAAACTATAATTTATATAGTTTGAATTTTTATTTTTAGGAAAAAGATATTTACACCATTGAAACCAAAGTTGTGGAGACAACTGAAAACATCAAAGAAGGAAATGAAGAAATCAGAGAGGTATTTTGTTTATTCTAGATTTATTCAAGTAGTTTTATTGTTAGCAGCAAAGCTGATATATATAAAATGATCTCCATCGACCTAATTTCAAAAAAATACACTTAGAATATTGTAGTATGCACAATTGTGTTTTGAAGAACGACAAAACTTCCAGCAATCAATTATTTTAACATCGTTTGGGTAATTCTGTAAAATTTTCCCATGCTAACCCAAATTCTTCATTATTATGTCTGTAAGCAGAAAATATTTTTTTTTTATTTTAGTTGAACAGAACACAGAAAGCCTTGGTATACCAATCACAATCGTGCATTTACAGGCATGACACACTGGTGAAATATCTTACATAATTTAGTTTCTCACATTCATTACAGGCTATAAAGAACAACGCCGGTTTCAGAGTATGGATATTATTTTTCTTGGTCATGTGTTCATTTTCTCTGCTCTTCCTTGATTGGTATGGATAAATCACTCACCCTCATTCATTCTAGGACCCTCCCTCACAAACATTGCCAATGGTTTGATCCATTTCAGTGACAAGCAGCAATATATGATCTATTGCTGAATTCGTGAACCATAAATTGAAATTATAACTTGTATTATCTGGAGCAAATAATCCATACTTTTCTTCCACTGAATTTTAAACCATTTACATTAAATTTATATTGAATATATAGTTCAATTCAACATAGACAGTGCAAGAAAAAAGTTATATAGTGTAAAATAAGATTATCTTTGAATATGCAAAAGCCACTGAAGGATCTGTATGTACTGAATATGAATCAATCCAGTTAACAATTACAGGGTCTTTTAATTGAATGAAAACTGACAGTTTAAATTCCTTGCTGGAGTAGATTATATTTAAATTTTTATTGAATAAAATTTGTCTGTGCAATCTCTGATTATGCCAAGGTTTTGTCTTGTATTGTAATATCAAATGCCAAGTCAAAATATCAGTGATTATACATGTAGATATTCTATTTTATATTTCTTATTGACAAGATTATCATCGAGTGAACACTTATGTTAATGGCTAGCCATCAAACATGTATGATATATGGTGTGTGCAGTCACTGAGAGTTCCATGTATGGAAGAACACTGATGGGTTGTCGTCATAATCACCCAAATAAACATGGTCTGTTCTGGGAATAAAATTTATCATATTTAATTCAGAATGATTTGCTAATTGGATTTTTCTCTAGCAAAGTCCTTTCTTTAGAATCAGGTTTCCATACTGGGATGATTCGCTGCAAAAAACAAAATAATCTCAATTTATATATATGACTAGTTTTCATAGAAAAAATGAACAATTATACTATAGTGTTTATCAATATGATAGAACAGAATTGCTGACTTATACCAAACCAAGCTAACAAATTACTGCCAATTGATTTACACAAAATATTTATTATACATTGAAAACATAAAGTGAATGGTCGTTATCTGCGTATACGTGACAATTGAATTCTAATCAAAAATAATAATGCATAAAATGCAAAGGCTTTGGGTAGATGCTTGTTTGTAAACAAAGACACACTGGTCATGTGGAGGTAATGACTTAAGTCCAAAATAGGGCATGAGGTATTCTCCCACTCAATGAAATGGGTCACATGGTATTCTCCCACTCAATGAAATGGGTCACATGGTATTCTTCCACTCAATGACATGGGTCATGTGGTAATCTCCCATTCAATGACATGGGTCATATGGTATTCACCCACTCAATGACATAGATCATATGGTATTCGCCCACTCAATGACATGGGTCATGTGGTATTCTTCCACTCAATGACACGAGTCATGTGGTATTCTCCCACTCAATGACATGGGTCATGTGGTAATCTCCCATTCAATGACATGGGTCATATGGTATTCACCCACTCAATGACATAGATCATATGGTATTCGCCCACTCAATGACATGGGTCATGTGGTATTCTTCCACTCAATGACATGAGTCATGTGGTATTCTCCCACTCAATGACATGGGTCATGTGGTATTTTCCCACTCAATGACATGGGTCATGTGGTATTCTCCCACTCAATAACACGAGTCATGTGGTATTCTACCACTCAATGACATGGGTCATGTGGTATTCTCACACTCAATGACACAGATCATGTGGTATTCTTCCACTCAATGACATACATGTAGGTCATGTGGTATTCTCCCACTCAATGTTATAGGTCATGTGGTATTCTCCCACTCAATGTCATGTGTCATGTGGTATTCTCCCACTCAATGACATGGGTCATGTGGTATTCTCCCACTCAATGACATATGCCATGTGGTATTCTCCCACTCAATGACATATGTTTATTTATTTATTTAACACTTTATTTAAAGAGGGTAGGCCAATATACAATAAAGTAATTTTCATTGGGCCCTCTGTAGGGACAAAAAACACAATATACATATTATAGGCTTGAGCCATTTACAACAAATTTTTCACTCAGATAAATTTTGTAGGTTTTCTTAAAAATGCCTAAAGAGGCTGAATTTCTGATATGGAATGGCAAGTTATTCCATAGGGTTACCCCTCTATACTGAAACGTCCTCTGACCCATGGATGTTTTCCATTTAGTAATGCGTAAATTATTTTTAAGAGAGGAACGTGTACTATACTTGTGGGTTTGGGAGATAGGACTGAACATTTCACTTATATATAAAGGCGCCAAGCCATTGGTTGCCATATACATTACGATACCTAGAAAATATGAAATTCTGTAATCGATAGGCAAGATACTATGTTTTTTGAACAGTTCAAACGACGATTGGCTAAAGTTGTCAGAGGAAATCACACGAACTGCCCTTTTCTGAAGCTTATACACCCGACATAAATTTGATTGACTTGTATTTCCTCATACTATACAGCAATAGTCCAATAACGACTGAATAAATGAAAAATACAATGTTCTTCTGACGGAAATAGGTAAGAAGCTGCGAACTCTCATAAGACACCAATTCTTTGGCTAAGCTTTTTACAAA